CAGACGTATCACTTTAATTCGTAGGTGTTGTGTGTTAATGTTCCCTTTGTGATTCATACTTAATTTTTCGGTTTTTGTGTAAATTCACTCACCGAGCATCACGTTGAGGCCGTAAATATCCGTAGGAGCTGTGTTCCTCCTTCCAGGGCGTGTTAATACAAATCATCGTGACTCCATATTGTGTTAAAAGCTGTGAGCAAAGAGAATTCATTATGGAAATAAACAACACAACTCCGTCCCCGCTACAGAGACTGTTGATCATTTAGTGCGTTTCGTGCAAAAAAAAAAAAAAGTCATTAGAATAAATTTCCGACGCCTCCTTTAACTGTGTTTCGATTAGCGCTGCCGACTCGCTGCAGTTTTTTCTACTCGTTCTTTTGAAGCCGAATCGATGCAACAGGAGTAAACACGCCGGTTCAGGAGTCCGTCAGCAGCCGAATTATGCAGATAACTTCCGTTGTTTAATCTTTAACCCGGCCTCCAATTAGTTACCGAAGCAACTTCAAAGCGCTGCTAGTTTATGGATCGCCTAATTGCTCGATGTCGGAGTACGTTTCCGATGAGCTCGGAGAATACAAACCCGGCAGAGCCCTCAGATGTTTCCTGAAACACGCAGCCGGCGAAGCCAAAACCACACAGTAAAGCTAATGGCTCCACATAATGACAAAGAGATGTGGCGTTCAGCAGCAGAGCGACTAAAACAGAGCAAGTTCGGAGGTTGAACTGATCGTTTGTAGCCGTCTTTTATAGGCTGAGGTTCTATATGAGCCAAAAACAATATAAATCCCTGTGTCAGCTTTTGATTTATAGCGAATTATTACGTGACCGATTAGTTTCTTCTGGTTGGAAATGACATGAACAAGAGAGATAATGTATGTATTGTGTTACAGAGGTTAAGGAGAAAATAGAACTTTTTCTGTGTTTTTTTTTTCTTTATTAATTAAAAACAAAATGTCCAAAATTTTTCTGAAATCGTTGCAAAATTGCTTTTCTACAACGGGCCACATTAAGAGAAATATTTTTCCACAGACTTTGAGAGTAAAGTTGTAATATTACAAGAATAAAGTTGTAATTTTACGAGAAGAAAGTTGTAATAATCCAAGAAAAAAAGTGGGAATTTTACTAGAGTAAAGTAAAGATGAAGCATCTCCTGGTTTGTGAAGCTGATGCTGAAGTACAACTTCCCGAAGATAGATAGATAGATAGATAGATAGATAGATAGATAGATAGATATCCATCCATCCATCTATCCGTCCATCCATTATCTGGAGTCTATCCCAGCTGACTACGGACAATTTACAATCACCAATTAACCTCAGCATGTTTCTGGACTGTGGGAGGAAGCCGGAGAACCCGGAGAGAACCCACACTGCACGGGGAGAACATGGAGACTCCACGCAGGAAGATCCTGGGTGTCCTCACCGGGACGGGAACCAGTGACCTTCTTGCTGCGAGGCAACAATGCTAACCACTGAGCCACCTTGCAGCCTTTAATGACGTGATATATATTATTTTTATTGAGCCATGATTTTCAAAAGGTCCAAAATCTTCCCCTGACAACTTTAGAAGTTCTTCCTGGCGTAAAAACATCCCACCGGGATGCGAACCGGTGACCTTCTAGCTGTGAGGCAAGGGTGCTACTAACTGTGCCACCTTGCAGCAGATAGATAGATGTACTTTATTAATACCTGAGGGGAAATTTGGTTGTTACAGCACAACATAGAGTTACCACCACCATAAATAGGCAAAAATAAACAATGAGAAAATATAAAATGCAACATGTACAATAAGTGTCAAGAACAGTCCTGTGTGGAGTCCAGTGCAAATAGTGATGTGCAACAAACAACAACAAACAACTGGTTTAAATGTTACGACTTTATTGTCAAAGTCTGTGAGAAAATATTTCTCTTCATGTGGCCCTAACGCTCCGTCCTACGATCCAGTCCTGCTCATTTCTACCATGTTCCACATCGTTCTACCACAATAAGCTGAGCACAGTCGTTCTCTTCTTAGTTATTCGTTAACTGCAAGTCAAACTGAAGAGTTTAACGAGCTGCTGTTAGGGTCCATCACCGAGCGACAGACTCACATATTGTGGTCGCTCACAAAAACCAGGCCATAAAGTCATAACCAAGTGTTTTCAATTACCAGTGGCCACAGAGCAAGTATCATCAAAACGAACAAGGAAAGCCACGCTGTTAAAAAACATCTCAAAGGGCTGGTGGGAAGCCAGAAGTGACCCCTGCACTGGGAAGAATGGCAGCGTGAGAAGAATCCAAGGATCAGCACCATGTTGATGAACTCTGGTAACTCTGGACGAGACGGGTTTCCATGAACACAGACCAAGACTTTCCCAAGACAGACGTACGCAAAAGCCGAAAGATCTTGACCATCGATCATGTGGTTGGATTGGATGAAAATGCAGTTTTGTTGGTTCTTGGGGAACCATTCTGCCCCCAGAGCACCGTCCTCACAGGCTGATGTGGTGGGAATGGGATGATTTGGGTGTTTTTCAGCCAGACAACCTTGTCAAAGTAAAAGGACTTCATGAGAAACGAGGACGACATTGAGACGGTGGTGGAAAACATCCGACAGCGTGCAGAGAAGGTCGTCCTTGGAGGGCATTGGGCAGTCCAACAAGACGGTGATCTGAGTCCAGACCTGAATCCATCGAGACTCTGAAAACTGAAGACCAGAGGGATGGACGGACGCCTTCGACCACAAAGACTGGAGATCATCACAACGGGGAGCAGCTTGTGGAGACACTCGGACGGACTGTTAGTGATGATAGAAGCTGTTGGATTGATGTGGTGGAGAACGAAGGCGTCGCCACTGATTACCGAGAAAGACGTGAACAAGTCTGGACATAAAGAACACACGGATAGTTTAAATTTGTCGTTCACTTTTCTAATTTCTAGCCAGAAGAAACATATTTGTCTAAATAAAATTGCTAGAAATCAAAAGCTGACGTGAACAATTTCAGGTATGTTCATATATAAATCTGTATGTATGTAATGAATTATTCAGATGGAATGAACAGAACCCACACAGAACCTCCCACCCAGTCTTTACAGAGCTATCAGCATCTCTGATGTCCAGATAAATTTCCAGATTAATGTCAATAGAGTTCTCATTTCTTCTTTTTTAATTGACACTTTAGATCAACTTTATTTTCCTCGGGGCGTCCTCTGCCTTTATTAAAAACTCAGTGTGGCCCAGGAAGCTGTTACAGCGTTCTCCTTTCATAATCACACACTTCAGACCCACTTTACATTCATCCGGGCCTCCCGTTTATGCTCAACATTCATTATTTTTATCCTGCAGAATGGCCCAGTGCACTTACAACCTGTAATTTTCGAGACCTTCTGTTCTAATTCTGCTGTTCACATTCAGTTTGCGCAGCTTTTATTTAGATGTGGTTGGTTCCTGCTCAGTAAATGCTTTTATTAATATTGATTAATTTAAATGTCATGTTAATGAGATGCTTTGTGTCTTGTATCTGTTAAACTAATGCACATATATGTATGAGAAGT